CTGACTCCCATCCCAAGGCTTCACCCAGAACCGAAAGCCCCAGCCTGCGGTAGGAGTGCCAAGACTCAGCCCAGCCACTTACTTGCTCTGTGTCCTTGGGCAAGTCACTTGCCCTCTCTGTGCCCTAGTTTATTTTTTCACCTATGAAATAAGATACAGTGGTAAAAATTCTCCAACATGCCCATTGCCCCTCCCTGTCCTCTTTCAAGGATCAAACTAGGTGTCACATATGAAAGCATTTTGCACAGTTTTGTATAAAACATTCCAGAAATTATTTTATTATTAAGTAATACATTGCTATCTAAGTATTAATAATGAGATGATAGTTATCCTTAGTCATCCAACTGCATTACTAACATTATTGATAATTATTATTAACATATCTAGAAGCATGATATAAATGTATAACTAATGGAGCCACTGCCCTGGGCCAGGAACATTCTGTGAGCTTCCTGTGTCTGCACAGGTGGAAATAGCTGAGACTCTGGTGGGTTGCCATCTGCGCAAAGGTGAGTTTTGGAGAGCCCCTGCGGGCCTCACCCTGGACTGGCTGAGCCGCTGCTGAAACGGGGAGGCCCCCTCTGATCCTGGAAGGAAACCCTGTAGGGCCGCAGCTGCCTCAGATCTTGGGCTTGGAGACAGGGAAGGGACACGAGGGAGCTCTACTTAATTTAAGCATCCTCAGTCCCTCCCCATCCACCGCTTTTTTTTTTTCTTATTTTACATGTTGGGTGGGGTTGACCATGAGCCGATGCACCTTCTCCGTGATTGGGAATAACGTCCCCGAATCCCAGTTGCGGCATCTGGCCGCACGGAGTCTGGGTCCCGCGTGGCACCCATGGGCTGGCTGGTGGCAAAGCAGCTGCCATTGCAGATAGGGCCCGTGTCTCCCTGTGCCCAGCCCCGAGCCCCCTGGCCCACCTGGCTTCTCTCTACGCAGAAACTGCCTAGTGCCAAGGGCGTCGAAGCGGGCCCCCTCTGGCTTAGAAGTGGCTTCCCACGGCGGTCATGTCTGAGCTGGCCCTCCTCGTGTGGGCGGAGCCAAGGGAAGGGCCAGAGCTCGTGAATAAAAAGCACAAACGTGCGGGTGGATGACACCAGTTAGAAGGATTATGCCCCGGCCATCATTTAAAAAGTGTTCTTTTAATTTTGAAATATTTTGAACAGATAAAAATAAACTCAGCCAAGTGTTAAAACAGAGAAGAGGCTGATTTAGAAATGCGGAAAGATTCACAGTCTCAATATTTCTGTTAAGTTCTGGGATCCATTGAAGAAAAGCTTGCTGGTAAGAGTTTCTACAATTTCATGAACTCTGGGGGGTCAACTAATATAAATATGCTCTGCCTCTTTTTTCCTCTTTTATTTTTAAAAATTTTTAAAAGATTTATTTATTTATTTGAGAGAGAGAGGGAGCGTGCAGGTAGGGGGAGGGGTAGAGGGAGAGGGAGAAGGAGAATCTCAGGCAGACTCCCCAGCTGAGTGCAGAGCCTGACGTGCAGCTCCATCTCACAACCCTGAGATCATGACCTGAGAGTTGGCTGCTTCACGGTCTGAGCCACCCAGGCACCTCTTTCTTCCTCTTTTAAAAGAAATCAAGTGATTTGCCCTTGGCCCCATCCCCTGCCTCCATTGCATTTGGGTTCTTGGGAAGAGCCCACATCTCAGGACCTGCAGAGAATTCCTTTTCCACTGTCCCGTGTGGCATTGTATGACTCAGGCTGGGACAACGACCCCTAGCTGTGGCCTCCATTGAGTGATGGTGGCTGTGTCTCACCTGACGCTGGGTCCTTGGCAGGCAGTTCCCTCCCTCCTGGCTCTGGGGTGGGCCTCTCAGGGGACACTTGGTCTCCAAGCCCCTCCAAGCTGCCATAGCATCAATCTTTCAGACCCCCCAGATTCAGGGCTTGGGGCGCTGCCACTGTTAATGTCCAGATTTCAGCCGTCCCTGACACAACAAGCCAACAACTAGGGGACAGAGTAACGTGCATAGAAGCACAGGGTGACATCGGGTGGTGGAGCTCGTGACTCTGGAGACAGGCAGCTTAGGTTTGAGTTCTGATTCTGCTGCTTCACTGTGGGACCTGGGGCAAGAGAACCCCCCCCCACCCCACATGGCCGGGGCTCTTGTCTGCAGAGTAGGAGAGTAAGCGTACCCACCCCATGGGGTTGATAAGTGGCTTCAGCGAGATACTGCTGAGAAGCTGGCTTGCAACAGGGGACATATCATATAAGGTTTGTCAAGAAAACCCCCAAGTTGGCTTGTCTCCTGTATGTTACTGACCCTCCGATGGCCCCTAAAGCAGAAAGGCTTCTCATCAGTGTTGTTTCACTTCTTCAACCCAGGGAGAGGGCAGATGGGGTCCCTGTCAAGGGCCACACAGCTGGGGTGTAGGCAGTTGGACTCCAGCCCGAGTCCCGGACCCGACTCCAAACTTGCATCCCTCCCACTCCCCCGCCCCCGTGTTATTCCGTCACTCTAAAAAAATAAATAACAGAGTCAGGCTGAGCTAGCTGGACGCCCTCCGCTGTTTATTTTCCAGCATCTGCTTCATAAACCGTTGGGCATCCACGTTAATTTTCCTTATTGCTGTTAACCTCGCCTTCCAATTATGCAAAATGTTCAGGCACAGCAGCCCCTTATTACTGGGGCTCTGTCTTTGGCTGACATTTGCTGGTGTGTATCTTGGCCTTGACTGACAAAGGCAGTGACTTCTCACGTCGACCTCATTTTCTTCAAAGTGCAAACGACTCCATGACCAGACGGGTGTCTGGGGGGCCCAGGAACTCCAGAGGTTGTGGAGCAGGCAAAGGAATACTTAAAAAAAAAAAAAAAAGTCAGGGCCAAAACTCGGGACCAAGGTTTACTTGGTCTTCAAAAAAACGTACAGATTGGGAGAAACTAAAAAAAAAAAAAAAAAAAAAGGTTTCATGGAACTCTGGTTTTGGCTCTTTTCCTTTTATGGACACTCTAAAGTTCACGTGGCCCATTTCACTTGGCATCTGAGGCTCCCATGATGGCTCTGTTATGCCTGGTTTCCCAATTAAACACTGAGTCATTCATTCTTTCAAGATCTAGTTATGACCGTCTATTATGTTTCAGGCACTGTTCTAGGTTCCATGTATATCGCAGATGATTGGTGAAAATCTTGACACTCTGGAGCTCATCTTCTGGTCAAGGACCAATCAATAAAAAGATGACATGTATCTAGAATGAATCAGGAGGTGGCTGGTATAAAGAAGGAAAGTGTGGCAGGGAATGGTGGGGCTGGGGTGCAAGGGGGGCTCCTCAGAGGAAGCTGACATGGAATAGAGACCTGAAAGCCGAGAGGGAGGGATACAGGCTAATGTCTGGGGAGGGAGTGTATTCCAGGCAGTGGGAACAGCAAGTGCAAAGGCCCTGGGGCAGGAGCATGTCTGGCATGTCTGAGCAGCAGAAAGGAGTGCCCAGTGTGGCCACAGCAGAGTGAAGGAGGCAGACGGGTGCCCAGAGAAAGCCAGAGGGGTGGGGAGACCAGACCACACCGGGCTTTGTAGGCCATTGTGAGGATTTGGATTTTATCTGATTGAGGAGGACTTGGGAGGATTTTGAACAGAGGAGAGTGTATTAGTTATCTATTATTGTGTAATTTGTTACTGTATAGCAAATGACCACAAATTTAGTGGCTTAAAAAAACACAAATTCATTTTCTCAGTTTCCGTGGCCTGGGAGTCAAACGCTTTTAGCTGGATCCTCTGCTCAGGGTCTCACAAAGATAAAGTCAAGATGTCAGCTGGTTGCAACCTCATCTAGAGTCTGCATTAGGAAATGGTCTGCTTCTAAACTCCCTCAGATTGTTGACAGAATTACTTTCCTTGTGGCTGAAGGACTGGGGTCCCTATTGTCTGGCTAAGTCTTAGCTCGACGCCACTATCAGCTCCTGGAGCTCGCCCTCAGGTCCTGGTCACCTGTCCCCCTCCATCATAGCGCATATCTTCCTTCAGGAAGATCCTAGCTCCTTTAAAAGGCTCACCTGATTAGGTGAGGCCCATCCTCTCCCTTTTGATTAATTCAAAGTCAATGGATTAGTCACCCAATCATAGGGTGATATCCCATCATCTTCCCAGTTTCTGCCATACTCTAGGGGAAGGGATTACATTCCAGGAGGCAGGAAATTGGGGACCGTCTTAGAAGCCTTCTTGTGACAGAGTGAGCAATTTGACTTACAATTAACAGGATCAGTCAGACCATCGTGTTAAGAGCAGACTGGTGGAAGGGCCAGGGCAGGGGGCAAGGGCAGATCCCGGGAGATCAGTGAGGGAGCAGCCACTTCTTTTTTTTTTTAATTCATTTTTTATTGTTATGTTAATCACCATACATTACATCATTAGTTTTTGATGTAGTGTTCCATGATTCATTGTTTGTGCGTAACACCCAGTGCTCCATTCAGTAGGTGCCCTCTTTAATACCCATCACCAGGCTACCCCATCCCCCCACCCCCCTCCCCTCTAGAACCCTCAGTTTGTTTTTCAGAGTCCATCGTCTCTCATGGCTCGTCTCCCCTTCCGAGTTACCCCGCTTCATTCTTCCCCTCCTGCTATCTTCTTCTTTTTCTTTTTTTTTCTTAGCATATGTTGCATTATTTGTTTCAGAGGTACAGATCTGTGATTCATCAGTCTTACACAATTCACAGCGCTCACCATAGCACATACCCTCCCCAATGTCTATCACCCAGCCACCCCATCCCTCCCACCGCCCCCGCCCCACTCCAGCAACGGGAGGAGCCACTTCTAACAGTGGCTTTGACCAAGGTAGTAGCGATAGGGTGACAGAAATGGCTGAAGCTTGAGGGAGCAGGCAGCCGGCGGCGCGGGGGGAGGGGGCCCGGTCCGGGAGTGCGGGAGGCAGGGGTAGAGGGAGGTGGCGGCAGCGGCCAGCGGACTCGAGGCATAACCGGGGCCGGGGCAGACACCTCTGTGGAGCGAGGCAGTAGGAGCACCGAGCACTGGAGGCAGCACCGGGATCCCCGCCTCAGGCGAGGGGGGCGCCGGACCGGGAGGAGGGGAGGAGGCGATGCTGGAAGCCATGGTGGAGACCAGTCCCGAAGATCCACCTCCGACCCTGAAGCCAGAAACTCAGCCACCAGAGAAGCGTCGGAGAACAATTGAGGATTTCAACAAATTCTGCAGTTTTGTCTTGGCCTATGCTGGTTACGTCCCCCCTAGCAAGGAGGAAAGTGACTGGCAAGCCTCTGGCTCCAGTTCTTCATTGCGTGTCGAGAGCGCGGCCGCCAGTGACGGCTGGGACTCGGCCCCCTCAGACCTCCGAACCATCCAGACCTTTTTTTTGTTTTTTTTTTTTTTTTTCATCCAGACCTTTGTTAAGAAAGCAAAATCATCCAAGAGAAGGGCGGCTCAAGCAGGTCCCACTCAGCCAGGACCCCCGAGGTCCACTTTTTCTCGTCTGCACACCCCTGACAGTGCAACCCTGCTTGAGAAGATGAAGCTCAAGGACTCTCTCTTTGATCTAGATGGGCCCAAAATGGCATCTCCACTGTCCCCCACATCCCTGACCCATGCCTCCCGGCCCCCTGCTGCTCTCACCCCAGTACCCCTTTCCCAGGGGGACCTCTCCCAACCTCCTTGAAAGAAGGACTGAAAGAACCGAAAGTTGGGGCCAGGAGGGGGGCTGGTTTTGGGGTGCTTCGGAGGTCTCTGCCAGCTCCTGGGAATGGGGAAAAGAGGTCTTGAATTAAAAAGAGCAAGAAATGGAAGTTGAAAAGGCAGATCGGGGGGATAGACTCCCACCTCCTGGGCCTCCCCGGGGACCCCCCAGTGATACAGACTCTGAAGAGGAGGAGGAAGACATGGCAGCCATGGTAGGGGGTGAAGCCCCAGCCCCTGTGCTGCCAACACCCCCTGAGGCTCCTAGGCCCCCTGCCGCAGTGCACCCTGAAGGAGCCCCTCCCACTGACAGCGAGAGCAAGGAAGTGGGCAGCACTGAAACGAGCCGAGATGGAGATGCCAGCTCGAGTGAAGGCGAGATGCAGGTCATGGATGAGGACCTCATGGTAGAATCAGGTGATGACTCAGGGGACCTGATCACATGTTACTGCCGAAAGCCCTTTGCAGGGCGGCCCATGATTGAGTGCAGCCTGTGTGGGACCTGGATCTACCTCTCCTGTGCTAAGATCAAGAAGACCAATGTCCCTGACTTCTTTTACTGCCAGAAATGCAAGGAACTGCGGCCGGAGGCCCAGCGGTTAGGGGGGCCTCCCAAATCTGGAGAGCCCTGACACCGCCGTCTCCAGGCTGGGACTTCCAAATGACAACGTGACTTGGGAACTGAGCCTCAGGGTCCTCAGCCTATCCCCTGGAGCTTGGATTATTGTCCCACTTCAAGGCAGGAATTCCCAAGGGAGGCTGGTTTGGGAATGAATGGCTCACGTTCCAACCTTCACCTTTCCTTCCCACCTTGTGGACTTGAACATGGACCCATTACAGTTGGGGGTGGGAGGCTGTCTGGGTCCCTAGACACTTAATCTCTGTCCCTTAGACCTGCCGCCCCCCTCACTTTCTGGGCCAGGGTCGGAGCTGGGGTGGAATGGGACAGTTGTCTATAAAACTCTAGTGTAAATAGACTACTCCCTTTCCTCATCTTTTCTTTTATCTCCCCATTTATTCTACACTGGTTGTATTTTTAATTTTGGACTTTCCCTTTCAGGCAGGGCAGCTCAGAGGTGGAGTACCAACCAGGGTCTGGCCGAGGGAGGAAGGAAAACAGAAAGGTGACGATGCGCTCACTCACCTCTTTTGTTTTTAATAATATTGGCCAGCTGTTTGTACAGACAGCCTGCGTGTTGTAAATAAAGCAGAGTGGGCTCAAAAAAAGAAAAAGGCTGAAGCTTGGCTGTGGAGGTTGTGGAATGGATTGGATATTTTTGTAACATGGATTGAATGAGAAAAATGAAAGCCTGATGCGGGTCTCAGGGATGGCTCCAAGCTCGTTTGGTCTGAGAAACTCGAGTTTTGAGCTGTGATAGCTTATCAAACTTATTAAGAAGTCTACAGGTTTCCAAAGGGTTAGTTTTATGCTCATGGAACTCGAGGCAGAGGCTTTCTCCTGCTTTGTGATTTCTTCATAAAAATAGCAATATATTATCTATGCAGATGGAACTTGTGTCATTAGGGTCCCAAACAGCCATTTTCATCTTTTAGGAAAACAATATAAAAAAGAAAATGAGATCGCCTTCAACTTCATCAGGTGTTGTTCCTTTTTTTTTTTTTTTTACCCCAGCTCTTTGTTCCTGAAAAAATTGCAGCACAAGACAATCAGCGACAATAATTTGGGAAGAGCTACAAATAGGCCAGGAATTGGCTCCCTTTACTGGTTTTGACTTGCATTAGATGGAAGACAGATGAGTTGAATCAGGTCTGTTATGCAGCAGAAAGTATTACGATGTCACATGGAGCGATAAAGGTGCAAAATATGAGCAGAAACATATGTTCTTGAGAAATTAGCTGTTAGCTACGTGCCTTTCTCTCGTTGATGTTATTGCTTTGAAATCCAAGGCAACAAGGCCACTGGCTGTTGGATGGCAAGCTATCTTACCCTTCAACAAATCCACTCATGAACTTGACACATGGCTTGTCCCGCTCAGGAAGACAAGAGGGATGATATCTCTGCTTTTCCTCACGGCGTGTTATGGAAGAGCGGCCAGCTTGGCGTGCTGACTACGAGGTGTGCGGCCATTCAATATGGGCAGGACATCGGCACAACGTTCTGGGTTTTTCCAAGTACAAAAGACAGACGGCTAAAGCCAACACCACCCCTCTGGACTCTGGTGCCCACAGCTTCCTCCCATGACCACGAGATGTTTCCTGGCAGACGAAATGGTGCCTTTGCTACCTGATGTCTTTCTTCTCTTTGCAAAATGTTGCTGCTGTATTAATTTCAGATACAAGTTTGCTAGGGATGCACCCTGGTGATCCACTGCACATCGGGAACACGGCTCATCAAGAGTGCATGCTGCCAAAGCCCTCTCCCTCCCTCAGAGAAGCTTGCAGTGGGCAGGGGGAGGCGGTGCGGAGCTCTTTGTTCCATCCCCCCTGTCTCCTTGACCCAGAGATGAGGGGTTTCCATCTCGGGGGCTCCTGGGCTGAAATTCTAATAGTAGAGGGACAGAAAGTAGCTCAAATATTAAACCACGGATGGCCTGCCATTTTTACTCGAAGCGCTGGAATTTTTCAGTCAATGCCGGAGGAAGGGAGGAGGTCAAGTCAGCTGGCTCAGCAAACCATCATCTCTAAGAGTTAGCTGAACAGAGGCAAACCCCGAATGTGAGCACGATTCAAAGGGGCCGCCGAGCAGGTGGGCTTCGGTGTCTTGTGCTGCAATTGTGGTTTTAGGTATTTATGTCTCTTACTAAGACAGTGAGTGCCTGGAGGAAGAGACCCGTGCCTTAGTGCCTTATTCATCCAGGAGTCCTCTATGTCCAGCATGGTGCTGGGCGCTCGGACGCTCAGCACTTGGGACGAGCAGGTGTCCTGGTCTGAACGGGAAGATCCCAGTGTGTGCCTGCTTGTCTCCTTCATCTTTTTTTTTTTTTTTAAGATTTTGTTTATTTATTTGACACAGAGAGAGAGAGACAGCTAGAGAGGGAACACAAGCAGGGGGAGCAGGAGAGGGAGAAGCAGGCTCCTGGCTGAGCAGGGACCCTGATGGCGGGGCTCGATCCCAGGACCCTGGGATCATGACTTGAGCCAAAGGCAGATGCTTAACGACCGAGCCCCCCAGGCGCCCCATTGCCTCCTTCATCTTTAACAGCAGCCCCTTCCAATCCCACCGATGACTATGCCTCAGAACTGCCCTCTTACTAAATTAAGCAGAAAGAGTTCATTGCAAGGATATGGAGTGCCTTTATCAAGAGATCATGTCTTGGCTCAGGTGATGAAAAAGTCAATCATAAATAGGGGGCTGGGATATAAGTCCAGTGTGCCCGGTATGGTCCCCATTTATGCCTGTTGTTCTGGCGTAATTGTCCAGAGTGTCCCTTTGCTCTCACACGTTATGTGGTCATCTTCGACACTCGTGGGGTACAGCTACGTTCAGACATCAGATTCGGTGGTCATCAGGACATACCGGTCTTGGCTTCACTCTCCAGGACCAGATGGGGGTAGAATGGTCCCGGGGACCCTTTTTTGGGGGGGAGGTTCAAACAATGGACTATGGTCGGCCTGTTTTCTAGTAGCTTTCACAAAAGCCCAAGATGAACTTTGATTGGATCAGCTTAGGTCACATGCCTACCCTGTAATGAATTCCTGTTGCCAGGGCAACGCTGGTGCTGTTAGGTTTAACCTGGCTCATAGGTCCCACCTCCCGAGTCTGGGGTGCCTTTCCCTGCACACCATATTGACTGGGTATTGACTGCAGGGTAGAGTCTTCTAAATGAAAATGAAGTTGTTGTTATAAACTGCCCCCAACAGAATATGGGCCCTTTTGAGACAGGGATTTCTGTCCATTTTGTCCAATGTTACACCTTGAGTGTCTAAAATAGTACTTGCTTATAGTAGAAGCTCTTTAAATAGCTATTGAATGAATAAGCACCGAGAAGACAAATCGCAAGTTTCCTTGATGCAGCCTCTGTATAAAATATGATACACTTCATCGCTGCAAATGCTCCGAGAAGCAGCCTTGAAATAACGGTAAACACAAATGACCTTCACCAAGATAATCATCCTTCAGTGTGGCAGAGACATTTGAAACCACTGGCCCGTGGCTCATGTCGGTCCCCATACACTGATGTACAGACCCTCCCCACGTCTCAAGCACTGGACTTTCCCAGGCCATGTTTACAGCAATTCCAGTGATGTTTAGAAGCCCTGTTTACAAGAGGATATTCCCTCTTCCAGTCAAATCAGGGTGCTGGGCAGGAAAGAACTCACCGGAAGCTGGTGTCTCATAGCCTTCCCTGTGAACTGCACACTTTGGAGGATTTTCTCATTTGAGCTAATAATGAACTCTGGTTCCTCCTGGGAGTTTAGCTGAATCACTTACTAGAAGCTCCTCAAGGGCAGGGATTACATCACTCTGTTCCTTGCACAGTGCCTGGCACCCAGAAGGGGATGGAAAATGTGACTTTGTGGCTGAGAAGGTGAATTGGATCTACTGCAACCCCCCTACCTGTCATCCTCGGCACATTCCATGAACAGCTGTATCCATCGGCCAGGGTCTTGTGGTTGCAAGCAACAGAAGCTGGCTTTGGCCAGCCTTATCAAAACAAGAATCAATGGAAGGATGTGGGGTGACTCTGGAAAGAACAGGAAGGTCTAGGGGACCAGCTCTGGAGGACAAGAACTGGGTCAATTCTGGGGTCCAGGGAGCAGGAACTCCTGGACAATCTCTTTTGGGCTTGTGTTTTGGGGTGATGACCCAAAATCATTATTGTTTCTTGCATCAGTCACCCAATATAAAATTTCCCAGGAGAGAAGTTTGAGCTTCAGCCTCATGTCCACCCTCTGGCCAGAGCAGCGTAATCATCTGCTCTGTTCAGATGGCAGCAGGGTGTGTGTAGAATCCTTAAGGGAAAATTGAGGTCCTGGGGCAGAAGAGTGGGAAACTGAGGCTGGCCAACCCCCAGCAGCAGAAACCCACCCCAGCCAGTTTCTACCTTACCCATCTAGGGATGCTCGCAGCCTTGGATGTGCCTGGCACTTAGGTCTTCAGAGGATGTTGACCGCGCCCAACTTACTTCTACCTCTAAATTGGAATTGTGTCTCATTTATTTCTGTTTCTTCAGTGGCCAACTGAGTTCTGAACACAGAATGGAGCCCAATACGTGTTTGTTGGACAGATAAATGATTGGATCCCTATGTTCAAGGGGAGAAAGCTCCAGTCAGACCAACATATTTCTGAGGGATGGGAGAAAATTTCACAGGTGTTCAGAAAACAAATATTCAAAACTTGGGAATAAGGCATAAAGATGATTGTGAGATCTTTTCGTGTCAGGGTTGAGGGCACTGTCACATGCCCCTGGGAAGGGACATCTGACGCTAAGGAAATGGGACTTTGACTTCCTAGGACTATTGGCTACAGCTCAGACGTTTCACAATGCTGGAAAGGTAGAGGTTAACACACAGAAAAATGGTAACATACAAGATGTCTTTTTCTTTTCTGATATTGCTAAAGACAACACAAAAGCTGTAGTTCTATTGCCCAGGGAAATCCTGAAGTGGTTGCATCTAACTTAGCATTGTACCGCACCATCCTTCTGTTTCACCACCCAGAACACTCGTTTGCAGATCCTGCTGTGAATCAACCATGCCATCCTATTAATACCATCATTGAGGAGTTAAATAGAGTTGACAAATGGTCACCATGTAATGTAGCTCATCAAAATTATGTTTTTTAACATTTTGAGGGTTATACTTTGACACACACTCGAGCACACACACACACACACACACACACACACATTACCCCCCCGCCTCTCTCCTGGGAAACTAGAATCTTTTTCTTCTAAAACTGAACGTCTTTCATTACATGAAAATAGAACGCTCATGCCAAAAACACCTTTTCCTGGAATAACATCTGGAATTTATACTGTGACTTTCCTCGACCAAACATTAGCTCCAGCCTCCC